TATAGCTAATAATTTCTGTAGTTAATAATAAAATTATCAAATACAAGTTTTGAAACAAAAAATATGATAAGTTTAGCGAATCACAGATAAACATAATATGTAGCTTTAAAGGTCTAAACTACAGCCCAATATTAATACGAGATTATTTAACTTAATATTTATAAAAATTACCTATAGAGAATTAGACTAAGAGTTAACTTAAAAAGTCAAAAGTAGTTTTGTAAATATTATGTTATTAATAAGCGAATAAAGTATTGTTTATTTAAAATTCCATTATGTAAAAGAATATGGTAWTTTTTTAATAAAACCATTTGTTCATTGAAAACATATTAAATTTTATTTATTAATAAAATCATAAAAAATAACTAATCAAAAAAGTTAAATTGTTTTAACTGATATTATATGTTTCTTTTATACGTGTATATATTTTTTCTACTTTCGTTTGCAGATATATATTTCTCCCTCATTATTTGAACGTTTTTGCTTAAAACATTTTTTCAGTTGTCAAATATAAAATTTATTTCTATTATTACTTATAAGAATTCTATACACTTTCCATTTTCTTTCCCATTATAATGTTTTACCCTTATAAATWATCGACGTTATCTCTTGTATCAGATTCACATGAAAAAGTTCAAGCCTAACCGGTCAGTCTATAATTTACTTACAATTTGGGTACGGGTCGATTATTCATTTCATACTCTCACTCTCTTCGAGATTAAGTATATTTTTCTATTTGTATACTACTAATGTAATAAAYATAATTATAATAAAACATTATGACATGTATTTCAAAGGGGTGCTAATCGAAAATATTAGTTCATCAGATTTGRAGACGTCTCGATAGAATAGCTAGTCTGAGATGTGGAGTCCATATATATGGTGTCAAGAATAAAGAGATAAAGAAGGACATTTTAATTTAATATTTAAATACTTGTGGGAGGATGTGGGTGGTTTAACAGCAAAAACAACACATTTYCCTGATTACGCACCTGTAGTCGTGTATCAATACGAAAGACGCGTATACGCAGTTACGTATAATACTATCATAATCATAATATATTACAGTTATAATTGCCAAGATAGGTGCAGGCCACAGAATATAAATTCTTCAGTCAAGGAGTTTGTGTGGGACAGATTTGAGTATTGGTCCAACAATATCTTGTAAAACAGAACCTAACTTGGGTCTGTTCTGTTAAACAAAGATAATGATCATCTTACCGTTATGATTTTCTATTTTTGGTTGCACTATCTRTGAATAGTTAAAACCATGAGTGGGGCGAGGAAAGTATTGATTTTACAATGATGTGTGTTATTTTTTTTGTATCTGTCATCACGTTTTAGGACAGTAAAATTCAATTTTTGACTTTAGTACCACGTTCGATCAGAAAGTGAATCTAATTGGTATATTTTGAGGGTAAAAAAAATCCTAAAATTTATCTTAATAATTGGGATAAACAAACTAAAAAT